AGTAGAAGGGAGGGCCAGCGGGTGTGTGGTGGTTAAAGCGCTGGACTCACGGTTGGCCTCCCAGATCTGGTGGTTTGAAAATCCCAGGAGAAGGGGTTACGCCGTGACCACCCCTTTGGGGTGATTTCTCACTTTGCCTCTTTCTGGTTGAGCACACGTACCCCACGGCACAAACCTAAAAAGGCAACAGCAACAGGTGGGCACCCTGAGCCCCACGGAGGGGCAAGCGCGTAACCCGTCACACGGCTGTGTCATCCCCACCTCTGCGCCCTGTCCTGCCACCCCCATGAGTCAGCGCGTCACAGCAGCACCCATGACACATGCACATCACCAGCTGGCGGGAAGCCCTCAGCTCTGTTCATCTCCTGGGGCCGCTGCCTTCCGAGCAGTCCCTGAACAGCTGCCACATCGTCCTGTCGCGTCATCAGTGACCTGGCTCTCGCAGGGCTGGGCCCCGGGCTGTAGCAGGGTCAGCCCCACCCGCAGCTGTCCCAGGCAGGAGGCAGGTGCAGGAGGCAGGCCGACAACACCTGAGCCTCCCCGAGGGGCGGTGCCTGCCGTGTAAGGACAGGGAGTACCACAGTGTCCCAGGCTGAGGTGGCCCTGTGGCCCTTCCAGGTCAGCTCAGCTGAGTGGCAGGGGTTCTGAGATGAAACTGGAGGGCCACCAGGGGACGGGCCATCTGTCAGCTCAGGGCAGGTGCGAAGCCATGCCCAACTGCATCCTGCCCTAGGATGCCGCCCGGCTGTCTTGCCCTCCTCTCGTGGCACAGGCAGAGAAGGGTCCCCTCCATCGCAGGGGCAGGCTCGACCTGCAGACCCTCTGGGAGCAGTTTTCTGTTTTATTAAAAGCATCATTTTCCTTGGGAACAGCAGATGGCAGAATGGTTACGTTGCTGGATTCAATGTAGTCAACTGCAGTCTCAGACCCGGCAGCTTAAAAGGGAACAAATAGACTCTGCAAATAATCTTTTTAAAAAAAAAAAAATTAAGAGCTTGGGGAACCACAGAATTCCTGTAGAGTCAGACCTCTGGGTAATTCTCATTTTGTTTTTCTTCCTGGGGACATTAATGCTTTCTTGTCATACACAACTCATACCCACAACCTCAAACACATGATTTTCTCAGTCAGTCATTCCAGTCAGCACCTCATCTCCTCAGGCCCTCTTACAGTGACATTCTCCCCTGTCACCACAGTTGTTATCAATACGCACAGTATCCTCTAGGCCTCTGAGAGTTCTGCTCAAATTTGCTTCCTCAGATTCTAACTGAGTAGATAGTTAGGCAACAAGAGAATATATTTCCCTTGGGAGCAGCAATTAGCATAATGGCTATGTCGCTGGACTCCCATGTAGTTGACCACGGTTCAAGTCCTGGTCCCGGTGGCTTAAATTCATGCCAGGCACGTGTGCGTGTGTGCCCAAGATCCCGAGAGAACAGAGAAGGGACTGCAGCGTGGCCATCCTCCCTGGGGGGTGATTTTTCACTTCCTGTCTCTCTGTCTCTGTCTTTGTGGCTAGAGCACGTGCCCTATAGCAAAAACCTCTCCAGAAAAAAAAAAAAAAAAGTCGGGTGCATGTGCCCAAAATCCTGAGGAGAGAATGGAGGAGAAGGGATTGCATCATGGCCATCCAGGCTGTCTCTGTCTCTGTCTCTGTCTCTACGACTGCATGCATCCTATAACAAAAATCTCAAAAAATCTCCCACTCTGCCTGTTCTATTTCATTGACATGTGATTCACAGAATATAAATTTAGCCATCTTTTTTTTCCTTAAGAATAATTTAATTAATTAATTAATTTTAATTTGACCAGAGAGGGATAGATGAGAGAGAAAGTGAGGAAGCAAGCCGCCAGGTCTGGGACTCAAACCACGGTCGGCCATGTGGGAGTCCAGCGCCCTCAGCCACCACGCCCCCTGCCGGCTGTGAGAGTAGCCATCTCTAAGAGAATATTTGGCCGTGTCTGGAACACTCACAGTGCTGGAACCCCACCTAGACCCAGGAGCTGACCAGGCCCCCCGAGCCTGGTCCACCAGCCTCTTCCTGGTCTCTCCAGGCGGGCCCGTCATGCCAACGTCCACCACTCACGGCCAAATCACAGACCGCATCATACCTGCCCTTTGGCATGGCCGTGGGTGCTGTGGGCAGGTGACAAGGCACACGCATGTGTGGACGTGAAAGGGGTGGCCACCCATGCAGCAGCTGCAGCGCCCAGCACTGGGCAATGTCTCGGCCGACCCTCTGGAGAGGAATCTGAAGGCCCAAGGGCGTGTCCACCATTCGGCTTGGCCACCCCGCTCAGGCGGACATGGCCGAGGGCGGGCGGACCCCGGGGCTCCACTGTGCATTCCAACATCTCTGATGCCGGAAACCTAGGGCCCGCGGTTGTGGGACTGTCCCCTGCTCACAGACAGCACGAGCCGCCACGCTGTGTAACTGAGGAGAGTGACAACAGAAAGCTGACCCGGCCTACCAGGCTGTCTGAAAACTACCAAGAGCGAAAAACCTGCAGAGAAGCCCCATCTGCGGGGGTAGCAAGGGTCACGTGGATTTTTACTGTAATTGCTCGGGGCAAAAACGGGCCCTGGTCATCAGCGGCAGAGCCATCCAGCCCCTGGGGGCAGTGAGCTGGGACAGACTGGTCCAAGCTGTGCGGGGCCAGGCCGCTGGAACCGAGGCTCTGTGCCTGCTGCCACACCAGCGACACAGGCCTCTGGGTCCCTTCTGGGGCCACCAGACCTGAAGTCCGCTTCTCACCATCGGGGCTCCTGAGTAACAAGGAAGATGGAGCCCACCTGGGAGTGGTCACAGGGCAGCCTGAGAGACCCCCCGTCATGCACGACGCAGGGCCCCTCAGAGCAGATGCCACAGCCGTCACGTTGCCTGTCCCCTCTGCTATGCCAAATGTCACCTTCTCCCGTGGGGGCAAAGCCCACACACCCAGCACAACACACGCTGTGACCTGTGGGAAGGTGCTGGGTGGTCCCAGGGCCTCCACAGGCAATGCCCCTGCAGCACCCCACACCCACACCCTGGCCTGTGACTGCAGCGGGTCAGGCTGGGCTCTGGGCACCGGGCCTACCCACCAGCCTGGGGTCACTGCGCTGGGTACCCCCCCAAGTCTTGGCCCTGGCATCCCCTCTAGCCCTGGGCACAGGCCTGGCCCTGCAGCCCGTTTCCTGCACCAGAGCGGCTTGGCCTCCCCATGCCCACACTGCCCAGCCCCTCCCACCCTGCTGGGTGCCCCTCTGCCCTCCTGTGGGGCTCCCTGCTCCCAGAGCCTTCCAGCAAGCACCACCCTCCCCCACTCCACGGTGCCATGGCTACTCCCTGCCCCCAAGGCTCACGATGCCACTGCTAGTCCAGTCTGCCCAGCTGTGAGTCCTCGCCAAGTGCCAGCAAGCCCCTGGGGGTGGCCAGGCGAGCGCCAGGGCGGGGGACAGCTGCAGCCCAGAATGTAAACAAGCTGAGCAGGTATAAGAGCCCATGCCCGAGGCCCTCAGCACCAGCAACCACCGCCAGAGCTCTCAGGGCGCCCGGCACAGGTAAGCCCTGCCTGGGAGCCAGACGGCGGGAGCTCGGGTCTGGTCTTCGTCCACATGACAGAGGGGTCTGGAGGAGGACGGGGGAGAGGAGAGGGCAGGGCCCCTCCCCTGCAGCACCATCAGCGCAGGGACTCCCCTCCTGCAAAGGCAGCTGCAGTGCTGTCGCGTGCATGTGTGTGCATGTGTGTCTGTGAGTGTGCATGTGCGTCTGCGTGCACGTCCGTGTGTGTGTTTGTGCATGTGTCTGAGTGCACGTCCGTGTGAGTGCATTTGTGTGTGCTGCGAGTGCATGTGCCTGTGTGTGTGCGTGCATATATCTGTGAGTGTATGTGCATCTGTGTGTGCATGTGCATCTGCGTGTGCATGTGCATCTGTGCACATGTGAGTGCATGTGTGTCTGCATGTATGTGTACATGTGTTTGCATATGTGTGTGCATGTGTGAATGCGTCTGAGTGCGTGTCTGCATCTGCATGCACGTCAAGTGCATGTGCGAGTGCATGCGTGTGCGTGTGCGGCTTCCACCTCCCAGACCTCCTCACTGCCCTAGAGCCCAGCTCCGAGTGGAGACAGTCACGCAGCTCGCCCCTCCCCTACCTGTGAAGGTTTTCTCCATTCTGGGTCCAAACTCTGTGATTTGTGGACAGATCGAATGTGGTGGGCAGAGAGGCCCGGGAGAACTGTGCGGACGATCCAGGGGCCTGGTCGGGGTGGGTGTCCGGGACGATCCAGGGGCCTGGGTGGGCCCTCTCCCAGTGACCACCACCCCACCCCCACCTGCCAAGCTGGCTGCAGGGATCGGCCATAGGAGACCCGGCTCCAGACCCACCAAAGGGCACGAAGCCCACCCTGCCCGCTCCCTTCCCTCAGGCCTCCTCGCATGGCCATATGGAAGGTCAGGGGTCTCCCCAAGTCACACAGCAGCTGGGGAGCCCGGGTCTGCAGGCAGGATGCAGACCTGGGGCATACCTGGTGCCCCTGGTCCCCAGGCTCCAGGGTTGGCTGTGACCCTCTGCCTATGGCGTCTGCACTGAGAGGAGGAGACAGGAGACGTGGCTCCAGCCACTGCCCAGCCCTCCTGGTGGCAGGAGCATGTTCCAGAAGGCTCTGCCACTGTGAACTTTCGAGAAGGCCAAGGAGCCTCAGACGCCTGCTGGCCGCAGCCTGGAGCTCTGAACCAGCTGCTCGCCACAGGGCCCCGGGACCAGCCCCTGGGGACGGCAACCTGAGAATGGCGGGTCACCGGCTGCTGTTGCAAGGGTACCAGATGGCCCTGGCCCTGCCTGCGGCCCCCCCGAGCCTGTGCCCAGACCTGCCTGCCCAGCCGGAATCCCAGCCTGCCCCAGGACTCTGGCTGGAGGCTGACTGCAGGGGACAGTCTGTCTGCTCCCGGCGGGCAGGAGCTGCGATGGATGCGGCAGGCTGGCACTCCGCCGTGCACCAAGTGGCACCCTGTCCCCCGCAGCACCAGCATGGACGAGGAGTTCTCCTCCCAGATGAAGAAGATGGCCTTGGCCCTGGGCACGTCCCTCTCAGACAAGGACATTGAGCTGCTGCCTGCGGACATGAGGCACCATGGTACGACGCCAGGCCACGGTGCCAGGCCACGGCTCTCCTGCCTGGGCACCCTCTCTGACCGAGGCTGACAGGCCCAGGACCGGTCCTGCAGGGGCGGGGGAGGGGTTATCGGGTGCCCTGTCACCCAGGCGGGGACCTTCCTCTGGGCCCGGCCCCATCGAGGTGACCCTGCCTGCTCGGTCCAGGGTCCTTCAACTACGTCAAGTTCTTTGAGCACATGAAGAAGTTCCAGGGCTCTGGACAGTTGGAGAGTGTCATCCGGAAGGCCTTCCAGACCCTGGACAAGGACAAGAGTGGGTTCATCGAGTGGAACGAGATCAAGTAACCTCCAAGGGCTGGGTGGACCAGTGGGCACTCCGGGCCACGGCCCCCTGCATGCCTGCCTCCCACCCTGCGCCTCTCAGCCCTGACCCGTGCCCGCCCTTGGCCCAGGTACATCCTGTGCACCGTGCCCATCGCCGGGCCCACCGCCCCGCTGACCGACGAGGAGGCTGAGGCCATGATCCAGGCAGCCGACACCGACGGGGACGGCAGGATTGACTACGAAGGTGGGGACAGCTCGGGCGGGACATGCTCAGACCTTTCCCCACCCCCCGGGGCCTACCCAGTCACAGGCCACAGGGCCAGGCCCACTCCTGCCCGAGCCATGCAGTCCCCACAGGCACAGATGGCCAGGTCCGGACACCGAGCACTGGGGTTGTGCAGGGCCCAGGAAGCGGCCAGGGCAGGGCCACTGCACGGCACCTGTGTGGTGGGGGGGCAGGGTGCTGCCCTTGGGCCCTCCCCTCTCCCCTACTCTGGTCACAGGCCTGGAGGCGAGCAGGCAGGCGAGAGTCCGTAGGGGAGAATGAGCATGGGCCCCGAGCCGCGCCACCCGCGCCACCCGCCCCGCCTGGGCCCGCAGATGCCACAGCTGTGGGCTGGACACCGGGCTCTGCTCAGGCCCGGCCCCACTGCACCTCAGTTTCCCTCAAGAAAGGCAGGGGTGCCACAGGAGACAGCTGTCAGAAGGGTCCACTGGTCCCCAGGGGGCCGCTGAGACCAAGCAGGCTGGGCTTGGGCGACAGCACAGCGCAGGCCCCTTGGCCACACCCGCACCCTGGGCCCAGGGGGCAGGACCAGGGCTTCCCCAGCAGGGGGCACCCCTTGTCTCCTCTGAGCCTAATGGCCTGCACTGGGGGGCGCTAGGGAGTATTTACCAGACTTCGGTCTCTTCCTCTAGAATTTTCTGAACTCATCAAAAAGGAGAAGATTCCAAAAAAGAAGTAGCAGCACGACCAGCACGGGCCCGGCCGAGGGCCCCGTGGGCCACGCGGGAGAGCGAGTCTCAGAGAGCGTGGCTGGGCCGCGGGGGGCACGGCTTATGACAGGAAAGCAAGAAAAACTGCCAAGTGACTGTCGCAGCCTGAGTGTGTGGGGGCGCAGCATGACTCAGGGCGGGGCCGCGGTGGGGGG